TATTATTATTATTATTATTATTATTATTATTATTATTATTATTATTATCATTATTTTTATCCAAATTGGTTTATAAAAAAAAAAATGATGAGTGAACAATGTGTGAATAACATCCCTGCAGTGTTTCCATAATAATGAGTTGAAGCCGGAAGCAGCCGCTCCGCTCCGCTCTGCTCCGGTCCGGCTGCATCCTGCCGCTCAGCAGAGCGGGGAAACGGATCAGGAAGCCGGTGTGAACGCGCTGGATGTGAATCTCCTCCTCCCGCTGCCTGTGTTCACCCCCTCCCCCTGTGTCTCCGTGCAGCTCCTCTCTGCTGGGGTCCTGGTCTGCCAGGGGCTGCAGAGCTGTGCTCGTCGACTCCTTCAGAACCAAATGCGTGTGTGACAGACTGTCCACCTTCGCCATCTTAGCCCGGATCAACCCCGACATGGTGAGTGCTGCAGAGCCGCTCTGCCTCCTTTCACCTTCATCGTGTCGCAGACCGTTTCTGCTCGGCTGCTGTTTGAATCCATCCGCGTCTCTACTTTCATTTTGATTTCTCTTCTCCCCTCAAAGGGCGTCTTTGTCTCCATCCCAGCAGATCCCCCTCTGCCTCCTTCCTCCTCTCTGTCTCTCTGTCTCTGTCTGCCATGCCAGCGCCTGCAGCCAAAGCTTGTTGTTTGGATGCTGTGTTTTCATAGAGCTGTTCATGCTTTCCAAGAGGGGGGGGGGCATTAAATCACACGTCAGGCTGAGTGGGATCTACAGTAATGTCAGACATGATGAACATACGACCCCACCCCGCTTTAATGCCATTGTTTTAACCTACAACAAGGATTAGCTAATTAGATGGTCGATGGCGTCTCCATGGTTACCAGGCCCCCTGGATGTTGTCCAGGGAAACGTGCGGTCTGGCATTTCAGTGATCGGAAAACCATAGGGACAGAAAGACCAACCGAACCCCCAGAAAAGCTGGTTTAACGTTCAGGTGCGTCGAAACCTGACATGTTCTGAGGCTGCAGCGGCCTGCTGGG